GTTGAGCACCACGCGCGTGCCATTGGGCAGGGTGGGGCAGAGCTTCTCCAGGAAGGCAATTGCGTGGCTGGTCTCCAGCGCAGGGATGATGCCCTCAAGCTGCACAACAGGGGGGGGGAGGGGGTTGACGGCGACTCAGCGGCAGCGTTGGGAGGACAGCGCCACAGCGGCCCGCCGCCACTTCAAAGGTGCAGTCTCGCGCTGTGCCAGGCCTGCGCATGGCGCGCAACGCTCGCCCCCTCGCAGGCCCAAGACGCCGACGCAAGACCTCTCATGCAGAGTGGCATCCACTCACGCCCCCGCACCTGGCTGAGCCGCTGGAAGGCCTCGAGAGCCTCCGCGTCCGTCACGGCAAAGTACTCCGCGCGGCCCACATCCTTCAGGAAGGCGTGCTCAGGGCCGATGCCGGGGTAGTCCAGGCTGGCGAGGGTTGGGAGGGCGGGATGAAGGATGCCGGCACATCACGGCAGGCCGATAGCGAGAGCAAGGCAAAGAGGGATCTCCCCTCCGGGTAGCTCCTGAAGAGGGCGCGGGTCGGCCAACGGCTGGGACGCACTGCCTCCCACTGCTGTCCCGCTGTGCATGATGGAACCGCGACCCATGAATCGAGCACCCTCGGCCCCCCTCATCCGCTCCTTGCCCCCCATCCCTCCCGAATCGCACCCCGCGCTGATGGAGTGGGGGTCGATGACCTGCCCGTCCGCGTCCTGCAGCAGGAACGAGAAGCTGCCGTGCAGCACGCCCGGCGTGCCCTTGGTCAGCGTCGCCGCGTGCTTCTCCGTCTCCACGCCCTCGCCGCCCGCCTCCACGCCGATCAGCCGCACGTCCTCGTCATCGACGAACTCGTTGAAGATGCCCATCGCGTTGGAGCCGCCGCCGACGCAGGCCAGGACGATGTCGGGCTTGCCGCCCCACTTGGCCTGGCACTGGGCGCGCGTCTCGCGGCCGATGACGGACTGGAAGTCGCGGACGAGCATGGGGTAGGGGTGGGGGCCCGCGGCGCTGCCGAGGATGTAGTGGGTCGACTCCACGTTGGTCACCTGGTGTTGAGAGGGATGGTTTTGAGGGGGAGGGGGACGCGCAAGAGCGAATGGTGAGGGGTTTGACAGAAGGCAGGGGCGTTGCCTAATGAGCAGGGGCGGGGTCGGCGCTGGCGAGAGGCAGGATGGGCTCAAACAAGATGCCTTGCAACATGCGCCGCTCCAAACAGCGCCCATCGGCCGGCTGGCGGACGCCGCCTGCTCGGCAAGCCGCGCGCGGCCATAACCGTCTGCCCCGCTGCCTGCGGGCCGCGCTCACCCAGTCGCGGATGGCCTCGCTGGTGGCGTCCTTGAGCGTGGCCGTGCCCATGTACACGGGCCGCACCTCCGCGCCCATCAGGCGCATGCGGAACACGTTGAGCGCCTGGGGGTTGCATGCGGGGGGTGTGCCGTGAGCGCGCCGCGCGGAGCGGCCAGCGGCATCACACCAGCGCACTACGTGCTGACGCACTGCATCGGCTGCGCGATTGCAGCAGCCCGCCGCCCGCACAACCGGGGCAGCTGTGCGCGGCGTGCAGCCCTCAGCCCGCGCTGCTGACCTGGCGCTCCATGTCCTTGGCGCCCATGTAGACGATGCAGCTGAGCCCGAGGCGCGCGCACACGGTGGCCTGAAGGGGTCAGCGGGGTGGAGGCATGGCACGGGGGGGCGGGTCCTTTGAAGTCAGCTGTGGGCCAAAATCCTGATGAAGAGGGGCAGCGTACCTCAGGCCCGGATTCTTGCATGTGTGCCCCTGTGCAAGTGCGAATGCAGCATCTGCCACCTCCTGCGGCGCCACCACGGCCCAACCTCAGCGCCCCAGCAGCAAGCCGCTCGTCCGCACCGCAACCCGCCGCAGCTGCAGCCACGGCCTCAGCCATGGTTTTACGCCCAACTGACACAAGGTCATGCACACAGTACACACACACTCACACTCACACTCACACTCACTCCACAAATGAGCACTCCCCTGCCTCTGACAAACAGTTGTGTTCGCACGCATGCACGCGCACACACACTGTTCATCCCACACACATACACACACACACGCACCGTGGCGACCCCGTGCTGCCCCGCGCCCGTCTCGGCGATGATGCGTGTCTTGCCCATGCGCTTGCACAGCAGCGCCTGGCCGAGCGCGTTGTTGATCTTGTGCGCGCCTGTGTGGTTCAGGTCCTCGCGCTTCAGGTAGATCTCGGGCATGCTGCCGTCCTCCCTGCGGCAGCGACGGCGTCGGCAAGAGGCGGTTGGGGGCAGTGCTGCGCGGGCTCCCTGAAACAGCGACTGTCGCGCACTGCAATGCAGACGCAGAGGCCCATCCTGCTGCGGCGGTTGCTGCCGCAGGTGCGCCCAGCGCCTGGCTGCTTGCTGCTCAACGGGCAGACGGCTCTGTGGGCGCGCCAGAAACCCAGGTGCCTGTGCAACAATACTGCACGTTTTCCCCAGCACGCGCCTGCGGTAACGCTCCGACAGACGCTCTGCGTAGTAGAGCGGCGTCTCGCGGCCCACGTAGTCCTTCAGGATGGCGTTCAGCTCGGCCTGCGCGGGCGGGCGGCGTCGCGCAGTCAGACCGGCACCAGCTCGGGGTACACGCGCTGCGGCCGGTGACCGGTGCGGTGTCCAGGCTGCGCGTCGCGAACCCGCTGCCGCGGCCTGCGGTCTGCTGAGGGCGCCGCTCACGTGGAAGTCCGGGTCATCCATGGCCTGCTTGTATGCCACCTCAAGCTCCGCCAGCGCCGGAATGAGCGTCTCAGGCACGTACTTGCCTGTTGCCAACCGCAGGAGCGCACCGGCAAGGGAGTTGCGACGTCGCGGCCAACCCCACCGGCGTAGGCGCTTCTCTAGGAGGAGCAACGCACGTGCGCGCATGATCCACGCTCGACGATGATAAGTACATACACATTTCGCCGCAATGGCATGCGCGCTGCACCGGCGCATCAACAGCGGCGCAGGAAGCGCCGAGCTGGTCTACGGCGCCCGTACGCAGCTTGATGCCCTCATCACCTCCAAAACGGCCGAAGCGTCCGGTGCTATCAGGGCGCTCAAACTTCTGCACCTCCTGAGGCGCGTCAGTGAGGGCCGCCCCGAGCACGGTGACAGCTCGCGGCCGACGGCATGGCCTAGAGACGGGGGCCACGCGCTGTGCAGAGTGCGCTGCAGCATTGGTCCTGGCGAGGACACTTTGCTGCTGCGCGAACATCATGCTGTGGACCATCTCGTGTTCCTGCTTGCTGTTGTATCCGGACACGGACCGCAGGCAGCACACGAAAGGTCTGAAACAATGGATGTTGAAAAGAACGATCAATCCGCCGCGAATCCAGTTGTATGAGCACCGGGACCCCTCCGCCTCCCGGAGAGGTGTAGACTAAATCCCCCTCTGGAAAACTCAATCGCAGAGGCTTCGATTTGCTCTGTAGCGACATTACAACGCGTCGGCTGGGGGCTCGGTCCCTGCCAGCTGCCCGCTCTCGCCCCCACCCGCGAGTTGAGTGGCAGCGCCGTCCCCAGCTGCCGCCGCCTTGAGCCTGTGCAGGGCCCAGTGCAGCGCCACAAATCTTTCAACCGACAGCTCCTGCGCACGCGCGTCACGCCGCAGCTTGCAGGCCTCTAGAGCTGCCTCAACCTGCCAAACCCGGGGCGAAACGGGGCGGAGCGGCGACGTCAGCATCGCAGGTCGGTTGGGCAACCGGCGACTCGTGCCCGGCACCTACGGTGCTGCGGCCGCACCAGGTGACAATGTACCGCAGGCTTTGTGCACCTATGTATTTTAGCACCGCAGTCTTGCAAAGAAAGGAAGGATGCGCAGCAAGCAAGCCTCGCAACAGCAAACCGCGCTCATGTCGCGCCGCCAGCACCGCCTCGCGGCGCAAACCCCACCTGCAGCGACGAGTACAGGGGTTGCATGCTGTTGCGCATCATCTTGCGCCGCTCCGAGAACGCCTTGGCCACCAGCGCGTGGAAGGCGCGCTCGGACGGCACCTGGGGCCGCTTGGACGGCGGCGCCAGGCGGAATGTGACCAGGGCACCGTCCACCCCAGGCACCGGGAAGTACTTCTGGCGCGGGATCCGCAGCCTGGCGCGTTGATTGGGTGGCGGTAGCGGGCGGCTGTCGGCCGCGGGCGGCGCGAGCGGCTCGGGCCCGCGCGAAGGTGGGCTGGCAGCCGCAGGGCGACGGCTACGCCTGCGTTCTCTCACTGCTCAACCGCGCAGCTGGCGTTGCCACAGGGGGTCCCGTATTGCTGGCAGGATCCGCTGCGTTGGAGCGCCCGCACGCCGTCCCTCGCGCCAGCCCTCAACCCTGCAGCACGCACGCAGGCTGCCGCACAGGCTTGCAGCCCCACCCCGCGCAAACGCACGCCCACCTGTACTTGGGCGAGCTGTAGTAATGCGTGTAGATCGACATGGCCCGGTAATCGGGCCGCGACGGCGTGGGGTCCACCAGCCGCTCGGCCACCTCGTGCTGGATCATGATGCTGAGCTCAGACACGACGCCCCCCAGTGGCAGCGTGGCCTTGAGGAAGTCTTTTGTGATGTTGTAGGGCAGGTTGGCCACCACCTTCAGGCTGCCGAGGCCGGCGCCGCCCGGCCGCTGGCGCCACGCCTGCGCGGGCGCGGGGCCGGGCGCGCCGCGGCCGCTCGTGCTGGCCTCGGGCTGCTGCTGCTGCTCCTGCTGCTGCTGCTGCTGCTGCTTCTGCTCGTATCGCTGCTGCATCTGCTGCAGGATCCCGGGGATACCCACGCGCAGGATGTCGCCGTGCACCAGCTCAATGTTGGGAGTCTGCGAGCGAGCGCGCGAGAATCGGCGACGGTGCTGTCTACGATGGCTGTTGTGCAGCACACAAGGGTGCCTAGAGCGCAGTGATAAAGCTTGCGCCATCGAATCAGGACGCGGCTGCGACCAGGCCACGTCCAGAGGATCGCAACTATGCTGGCAAGGCGGCCGCCCGTGTGTGCTGTCGTGCGGGGGCGTTTGCCCGCCGCGCCCCGGCAGCAACCCACCCGTGCAAACTCCTCCCGCAGGCGCTCCACCAGGGTGTCGTCCTTTTCAACCGCGATGACCTGGCGACAGGGGAGGCGCAGCGCCGACGCACACTGAAACGCCGGGCGCGCGCAGCTGCATAATTGCGCCGCGCCCCGTACGCTGCTGCGCAAAAGGGTCGCCCCGCCCCTGCTCAGCCCAGCCTCAGGTCGCAGGGGCCGTCCGCGGAGAAGCGATGCGATCCCTCTGCAATGTTGCGAAGCGTGACGGCTCGTGGCCGCATCGCGCGTGCAAAACGACCCACCTGCGCGCCCGTGGCGACGAGGCAGCGCGTCAGGTTGCCTGTGCCGGGCCCGACCTCGAGCACCACGTCGGCCGCGGTGACGCCCGCCGCGGCGACGATGGACTTGAGTATCGCCTCGTCGGTTAGGAAGTTCTGCCCCAGTGACCTGATGGGAGAGTGGGCGACGAAGCGCGCGTGAGCATGCGGCATGAGAGGCGTCGACAGCGCGTTGTGCGTGCACCAGAATTGCCAACGGCTGCTGTAGCGGGTGCAAAAAGCAGCACTTGCCATGCCGTTATGCTTCTTCATGCATGAGATCGCCATGCCCCACGCCCTCTTACTTTTTCGCCTTGATGTTGGCCTGCTTGAGGTTTGCGCGCGTCGCGCTCGCCTTGTTGGCAGTGCCGCCGCCCGCCTGCCACATCCAGCCGACCTCTGGCACTGTCGCAGCATCTGAATCGGTGTTTGCCACCCTAGAAGGTCTCCGTGGCAGCCTGACGCTGCCTTCAGCGTCCTGCAGCACCCGGGAATGCAGGCGCCTGCCCGCCACCACGCGACTGCCCAGCAGCCGCCTTCCCAGCATCATTGCCACAATTATAAGGGTGCTTCAAGAGTATGATACGCTGTCAAGTTGAACGTGAGGCTGATCTACGTTGTGTCACCCCAGTGAGCAGGCGGCGGGGCTGAAGGATTGCTCAAAAAATGTAGCACGCTGTCATTAAATTACGGTACTATGATAACCCACCAGCCAGGGGGCTGCGCTTGCCTTTCAGACGGTGCAGCATTTGGAGGACGGGGTGACTGCATCTGACGCTGACCCATCGACGGTGTGCTGTCGTACCTGAATCCGCAGAATGTAGCACGGTATCATGCAACCCCCCCCCCCCAGGCTTTGATTGTGGCTTATCCGTTCAGGACCACGTACAGGAGCAGGAAGCGCGTCGGAGCCGGCATTACATACACTTCACAGCGCACATCGCGCGCGGCAGGTGGGCATGCTGCTGTTTCGCGCCAAGGCTGAGAGCAGTCACGGGCAGGCAAGCCTTGGTCATACACCGCGGCCGAACCAACTGTCAAGCTGGGCCTCGCAAGATGCGGCTGCAGGGCTTTCCCATTATCCCGAGTGCCGACCACGCTTCCAGCAGCTGGGCACATGTACATACGAGGCGAGCAGTTTGCCAACATGCGACGGCGCATGCACGCGCACATCTCAACTCCAATGGCCCAAGCAAGCTCACTGAAGGCAGGTGAGGTGTGAAATGTAAGGACCCAGGGGACACGATCCAGGACTTAACGTGCGCAATCGGTGCTGTGGCGGCAACTGTTCAACGGCACTTTTGATGGGCGTCACATGCACAAGGGCACAAGCCACATCAGCATATGTGGGAGGCCAGGGTGAGGAACAGTTTGTGTGCTTGCTTTTGTGATCACTACGTGCACCGGCGGTTGCGGCAGACTGTGAGAGGGTGGGGAAGGCAGTCAATAGGAAGGATGCACATCGCAGCCGCAACTGCCAGCACAGAGGCAGGGGGCAGCCCCAGCCCCTGGTATGAATTTCAGCCGCAGCCTGCTGTTTCACTGCTGGTTGCACCATGCCGGATGTTCCGGCGGATCCACGGCCACGGCCACAGCCCCCCGGGGCAGGCCGGCGTGGCCACGGCTTCCCCAGCCGCCGCTGCTGCCGCTCGCGCCACCATCCCAGCCGTCCCAGCCGTCCCCGCCATCCCCGCCGCCCGCGCCGTCCGCCCCCGGCAGCCGCGGCAGCCGCGCGCGCTCGGCGCCGTCCGCGACCGGCAGCAGCTGGGCGAACGCCCACTTGATGGCGCTCTTCCAACGGTCTGTGTGGGAGTAGAACCTCACGCGCACGCGCGAGGGCGCGCCGCCGCCGTCCCCACTTGCCGGCACGACGACCTTTGGTCCGAGCATCCAGGCCCAGTAGTGGCCCAAGCGCGGGAAATCGTCACTGGGCCCCCCCATGCCGAGCTGGCCGAGGCAGTTGCGCAGCTCGCGATTCCCGCAGGTGGCCTCGGCCTCCGCCGAAGCGGCGCCCGCCCCCGCCGGGAAGACGCCGGCCCAGAGCCTGAGGGGCTGCCTGGACATGAGTTCAACCTTGCAGTGCGCGACGTCCACGCACCACGCGACCTGTGGGCAGGGTGCAGGGGCGGGACCGGCGGGGCTGGGCCGGCGCGGCGGGGGCCCGCGAAAGGCGGCGGCGGCGCGTCCGGCCGCATCAGGGCCCCTCATGCGATCAAGTGCTTTTTGTTCGTGCATCCTTGGTGTCCCGCAAACCCCAGCACCGCCCGAGGCCGCCAACTCTCAGACACACTACGACCACCCAAAATCGCGTTGGCCACTCTACCTGGTAGGTGCCCGGCAGCACGCCGGTGATTTCTCCCGCCACCTCCAGCCAGCACACGCTGTCGAGCACGAGCGAAGGCTCGAGCGCCAGCGGCCCCGCGGACGGCCCCGGCCGGGGCACCGGCCGCGGCACGGTGTTGGCAAGCGACAGGTGTTGATTGTCGAGCCACACCTTGGGAGAGAGGGGGCGGGCGGTTGCGTGGCTGGCTTTTTGCACACGCGTGGGGGATTGTGCAAGGTTGCAGGAGGCACTCGGGAGGGTCAGGGCCAGCTGTGGCCGCTAGGCACTCGGCGCCTCCGCCGTCACCACCCCGGCAGCCCGACGGCCGCCACAGATTCTAGGGGGGGCAGTGGCCGCCGGAGACGCAGGCAGGCAGGCACGGCGGGGCACTGGCACTAGCACTGGCGACAACAGGCGGGGATAGGCGGGGGTGGGGTCCGTGGCTTTGGGCGGTGCACCCGTGATGAGCTGCGGGTGACTCACCGCGTCCATATCTACAGCGTCCACGGCTAGCGCAGAGCGGCGCAGATAGATCTGCTTGACGGCGCCGCCTGCATCGGGGTCCGGGCGGGGCCGCGGCGGCGCGGGGAGGAGGGGCGTGAACAGGCGCGTAAACCCACGCCCCGGCGGCGCCCGTTTTGGCGCGGGGCTGCTGCGCGGCCGGGCGGGCGCGGACGGGCGTCTCCGGCCCACAAGGCGTGCGCGCGCGGAACATCCGGCTCTTGTGTGTGTGGCACACGCAACGCGGAGGCTTGTCAACCCATAGGATCTGGCATCGGACGCCAACCCCGAAAGGAATGCGCATAGGGAGTGCACACAGCTTGAACGGATCAGCAAGGGCGCACCGTTGCAGCCGCCCTCCTGCTCCTGCGCCGCCGCGCCCTCCTCGGCCAGCTCCTGCGCCGCCTCCGGCCGCAAGAACACCCCGCGGCCCCACTCGCCCCGCCGCCGCCACGCCCACCGCGGTGGCAATGAGCCCGCGCGCAGCGCCTTGCCGTCGGTCGTGACGGCGGCGCAGTCTGGCAGCTCGGCGGCGCGCGCGAGCAGCGCCGGGATCGAATCCACTTCTTGCAAGAACTCGTGCATCGGCGACAGGGCTGGGCCAAACGCGACGCCGGGGACGTACACCCAGTCGCGCTCGTCAGGCGCCGGCGGCCACGTGTCGTGCGCTGCGGCGCAGGGGGCGGGGCATGGAGGGGGCGGGCGCGTGAGGCAGCAAGCAGGTGCCGCGGCTGGGGTGTCGAACGCGCGCGCGGCGGGGCAAGGCACGGCCTGCCCACGGGCCAAGCAAACGCGGGCGCGGCCGCCTGGCAGCGGAGCCGAGCGCGCGCGCGCCCCGCCCCGCCCCGCCTCGGATGCGCCGGTCGCCTCACCCTGCGGCGCCGGCTGGTCGCTCAGCGATAGCGTGCGCGCCGCCGCCTGCGCCACGTAGACGCCTTCCCGCGGGTCCAGGGACGCGCGCCGCCACTCGCGCTCCGGGGGCAGGCCTTGGAGGATGCGGCCGCCTGTCGTGAACGCCTGCGCGCCTGCGGCAAGGAGGGCCGGCCCGCAACAAACGCCGCACGGCGCGGCGGCGGTGAGCCGGCGAGCAGAGGGCGTGGGGGCGAAGCGACGCAAAGCGTAGCGTGAAAGCATCGCGCCGCGCGGTATCCGCGGGTCGACCCGACACCCGAGCTTCTGAGCGGCCATCGTAGACGCGCGCGGGCCGGGGCCGGGGTGCGTGCGGGCGGCGCTCGCCTGCCTCCAGGGTCGCCTTCGCTAGGGCTGCCGGGGGTGCGCCAGGCATTGACTTTGTCACCGTGACCGGCGGCGCGGGCGGCTCCATGCCCTGCACGAACACAAAGCCGGGGACGTCTGCGGCGCGCACGGGGCCTGGGCGGCGCGGGGAGGGATGGAGAGGGCGCGAGCGCGACGCTTCAGCCAAAGGGAGGGTTCAGCGCAGCTGAGGCGCCGCGCGCGCAGGGAGCAGCGGCGGCGCGCACCGACGCCGCGCCGCGGCTGCGGCCGCGCCGCGTTCGGCGGCACGGGCGGCCGCGCAGCGCTCGGCCGTCTGCAACACGGCCGTCGCGAATGGGCGCGGCCGCCCTCCCCCCACCTGCCGGCGGCGCCGCGGGCAGCGCCTCCGTCCCGAAACGCCGCCCGACCCATTCCGCCCACAGCCCGTCGCAATCGATGGCGCGCAGCGCGCGGCATGCCGCGGACAGGCGTAGCGCGGCACGGGCGTCGGGGTAGAGGGCTGTGGCGATTGCATGCAGCGCCAGGCCTGGGAGCTCGTTGAAGGCGCGCATCTGGCCTGCGTCGGAATCCGCGTCCGCGGGCGGGCCGGGGGCCGCGGCGGCTGGCGTCGCGTCCGCCATGCCTGGGACAGGCAGTCTTGAATGCGGCGATACGGTGTTGGGGTGGGGGGCGCTCGGGTGGGTCCAGCGCGGCGGTGCGCGCGGGCAGCTGCGAGCGGGCCGATGAGGGACCTGCCGCGCAGCTGCTGGCGCGGCGGGTCTCAGACAGTGCAGCCTCAGCAACCGCGTGCTGGTGATGCAAGCGCCCTGGTCATGCAGCCGATGCATCGATCTGCCAGCTGCGCCAGGTACACCGGTGCAACACCGCCACGCTCCCACCAACGCGCTCTCTCGGCAGTGACTGTTGCTCAGCGCGCCTGCGCGAGGTCACTGCGTCGAAGTGCACGTCTGCGCGCACGGCAGAGACGCCGACTGACCTTCACGAGGCGTGCGGGTACGCCCAGGACTGCGCAGAGTGCAGCTTCGCCGTTCGCGGAACAGGATCACTTGGTTTTCACGTGTGATATCGAGGGGTAGGGTACATATCATGCATGTTACGTCTCACTTGCAAGGGGTGGTATATTGCGAGATACCGTAGGTCCTACCACATCGGGACAGGTCCGACTGTCAAAGTGACTGCTATGTGCAGCCGCGCTCCTGCGCGGGTAACAGTGTAATAACGCTGCAGAACATGCTCAGATAACGGATGGTGGTCTGAGTTGAGGCCCAGCTTCGCGCCCAGCTAGCCCCACCTGTGTTGACTGTGCGGCGAGCGCGTCCGTTTGGGCATCGACAGCCATGGCGCCCGTCATGCAGCCGCTCGACCCCGCGGAGGAGCCCGACCGCCTGCCGCAGCCGTTTCGGATGATCGACCGCTTGCTGGGGCGGCTGCTCGACAACGCAGTGCGCGTGGCGCAGCTGCGGCGGGAGGAGCGCGGGGTCGCGGCCAGCTGCAGGGTGGAGCGGGTGAGTGCATGGGGTTGGCACGCGCACTGAAGGAGCATGCCAGGTGTAACCTGCGCCGCCCAGCCCCCTGCATGTGAGTTTGTGAGGATGGCGGCAGCACCCTGTGCGCATATTCTTCCCCCCGACTGCGTGTGTCTCGACAAAGTCAATCCACTACCTGCCAATCCCGCCAGGTGGTGCTCCCGCGCCACGTGTGCGCCGCAAGCGGCGCTTGCAGAAGCTTCTGCCCATCTGCTGCAGGTGCGAAACACACGCTCGGTCTGCTTAGCTGTGGCAGTGCGCATGGCCGTCCCGCTAGCTCGGTCTGCCTCCTGCTGGTGGGGAGCCAGCGCCGACTCAAGCCGACGCTCCAAACTCCAAGCGCGGTCGCTGGCCCCTGCCCCACACGCCGCTCCCAGGGAACATGTGCGTTGCGGCGACAGCGCCGACAGCACCTGAATCCCCGCCGGCAGCTGCGGCAGCCACGTCCGGCTGCGACCTGCTCACCATGCCGGCCGGCGGTGGCCCTGAATTTGGCCTCGCCGCCAGCAGTTGCCGGCCCTGCTCCAAGGCGGTCGTGGCACTGGACACAGCGGCGGCGGCAGAAACTTCTGGCGGCAGTCAGGCGGCGGCAGGCGTTGAGCCCCAGTGGGCGCCGAGGCCGCGCTCGATCGTGGCGGCGGGGGCGGACGACGGCTCGCTGCAGCTGCTGGCAGTCAACGCAGACGGCAGCATCTGCCCGCTTGCAGAGGTGAGTACTAGGCGTCGACGCTTGCCCGGAGTGAGTGGACTATTGGATGGGCGATGCTTGACAGAGAGATGTCGCTGGGGTGGGGACATCACCAAAGAAATGTACAAGGCAGCCGGGCTGACTGCAGGTAGGTGTGCCGAACAGGGACAAGTGACGCCACTGGGAGCGGCAGATGCACTCATGTAAGTTGCCCCATTGCGCTGACTGCGCAGGCGCCGCCTCCCCGAGACTCATTGGCGTGCACCAGGGTGCAGCTCAGCCCGTGCGGCAGGTTTGTCGCCAGCCAGCTTACGGATGGCAGCGTGGCGGTGTATGCAATTCCTACATGCTGGCCACAGCAGGAGCAGCAGCAGCAGGCGCAGCAACAGCAGCAGCAGCAGGCGCTGCCACAACAACAGCAGCAGCAGCAGCAGCAGCAGCAGCAGCAGCAGAAACAGCAGCAAAAGCAGCAAAAGGACCCGCAACAGCAACAGCAGCTGCAGCAGCAGCAGCAGCAGCAGCAGCAGCGGCGGCAGCAGCAGCAGCGGCGGCAACAGCAACAACAGCTAACACTGATGCTCTACTTGGCCCCACCGGCAGAGCTCGCCTTGCTGCAAATACAGCGCCAGGCTGTGGCGGCGTGCGCCAACATCATCTGGCAGCAGCAGGGTGGTGGGGACGAGGCAGCAACGTTGGGTGTGTACGTGTGGTGGCCGCGCGTCAATGTGCTGCGGCGCTACAGCTTGCTCCACCTGCAAGGCTCTGCAACGCCTCAGTTCGGGTCGGGGGCAGCAGCGCCAGCACTGGTGCAGCCGCCGCCGGCAGCTGAGGCGTCAGGATCATGGACGCTGCCGTACGCGATCGCTTGTGCTTGCCGGCTGCTCGGCAGCTGTGGCGGAGGCAACTATTCTGGCAGCAGCTCCATCCTGGCCCTAGGGCTGGCCAACGGCTTTGTCGCGCTGTTTGATGAGCTGCAAGGTGGGTGGGGCGCAACTTTGATCACGTCACCATACGCGAGCCGTGGATACCACAAACTGCAAGGCTGCTTGTGCCATCATCTTAAAGGCACCTGCAACCCTTGCAACACCCATCTGACTTCCTTGCCCTTGCCTGCTGCCTGAGCTCCCGGGCGTCCCTCGTGCTGTCCCCTACGTACAGGCGGGTTTGCGGGCGTCCTGCCGAGGCTGGCCTCCCCTCCCACACAACTGGTGGCAGTACCTGCCGGCCCCTGTGTCAAGGTCTCTCACCTGCTGGTGGCGGCCACAGAGGCTGGCCAGCTGTGGACCAGCACCCCCCGCCGCCCGGAGTCGGGGACGGAAGCCGCCGCCTGGCGGCGGCTCCCGCTGCCGCTCCTGCTGGCGGTGCAGCACTTGCAGGCGCTTCCAGGGGGCCCACCTCTGGTGCTGGCGGTCGCGGCTGCCACGCGGCCGGCTACGGTGGTGCAAGGTGCGGGGGGCTGCAGATTCTAGCATGTGCTTGCACAAACGGGACAGACTCGGGCACCGCAAAAGTAAATAACTACTTAGAGCCCTGCAGTCGCCTCAAAGTGACCGCCTAGTTGGCGCCACGCTCGCAGGTCTGCCCGCTTGGGCCAGCCTCAGCGGCGGTACAGCAGCTGGCAGCTTGGGCGGTGTCGGCGTCAGCGGCGATGGGGCGGGCCTGCCGCGGCTGCTGATCGTTGATGCAGTAGGCGGCGACATCGTGGCCGAGCTTCAGCCGACCCCTGGGTTGGCGTTTATGCGGGCGCCTTCAACCAGCGGCTACACCGCGGCGGCGCTCAACGGAGCAGACCGCGGCACGCAGCTGCGGCGCGGCGATGGTTTGCGGGCCCTGCCGCTTGCGGTGAAGGGCGGGGTGCTCGTCGTTGGCGGGTGCGCGCGCCAGACAGGCAGCCGTGGCGGCGCCAGCGGCAGCGGCGGTGCCGGGTGCGCTGATCAGGCAGCTGCAGAGGGGCAAGCACAGCCGGTGGACCCCGGGCTTGAGGACACACAGCCCATGCAGCAGCGGCAGCCTGACGCCGCCGTCTGCCCTGCTGATGCACGCGACGCTTCCGCGGCTGAAGGGCCGGCGCAGCTGCTGGTCTATGACCTGGCAGCTGTGGCCTCCGCACTTGCCAACGATAATGCGGCCGCTGCAGCAGCCGGCGCTGCGCAGGCCGCGCCGCGCTTTCCTCTACAAGCAAGTGCTGGTGTCGGCAGCAGCATGGCGGGGGCGGCGCTACCAGCAAACGTCGCAATTGGCGCGAGTGGTGCCACAGACAGAGAGGTGCCTCCAGAGATCCCGGCCGCCAGTTCACCATTCGTGAGCGATCCAGCGGCAGGGCTGGCGCTGAATTTTGCGCGCTCGCAGATCGGGCCACCCGCGGAGAGGCGCCGCCGCGCTAAGCGCGCGGGCGCTGCGCTGCAGGCAGCGGCGGCACGGCTGATGGTGTCCGAGGCCGCAGCAGGGGTATTGCCGCTGTTGCCTGGGTTGAGCGCTTAGGGCAGGTGCAGTCGGGCTGGCTGGGGTGCCCCCAACGTAAGTCCTGCGCACCGTTGTGATTGAACACTCAATCCTTGTAATGTCATGTACTAACACTCACTGCACAAATCCGTGATAAAGCAGCTTCGACTCAGCTACAGTACTCAAAAACGGCGTCGTCTGCACAGCGCTCTGGTTTGGCCATTTCTGAATTGCCGGCATGGTATGGACAACCCACTTATCACAGTTGCTTTCCTGGTGCAAAAGCTGCTGAATCTCCAAAACACCTCGACCGCACTCCAGCAGCCTCTTGGCTGAGCTTACGTGATCGCCTCCTCCGCGCTTGGACCAGGAGCAGGCTAGTTTTTTAGGTTTGAGATTCATGCCGGCTGGGTCGTCGTGGGCAGCTCTCGCCCGAAGTGGCCACTCGCCATCTGGGTGAGCACTGCAGCGAGGCGCTTGCACAGTCTCCAGGCCTCGCTAGGCTGCGCACAGTTTAGCCTTAAGATAGTGTCGTTGCGCTACTGACGTCCTGGGAGCAGGCAACGAGCACGCGTATGATCGGCTGCGCGCTACCGCTTGCTCCAGAGCCAAAAGCTCAAGCCAAAAGCTCAGCCAATAGCTCAAGCCAAAAGCTCAGCCTGGCCTTCTTGATCCATTCCTGTCTTCGTGAATCTGCAGGCTGCGCAGTAAGCTGTAGTGGGCCCCTGACCAGCTAAGCCTACGCCGTGCGTGCGCTGGCTGGGGGGGCCTGCTTGGCACAGCCTGCAGCACGTGTGCACGAGCCGCTGCTGGCTGCACACACACTGCATGCTGTGCCGCTTCCAGCCTGTAGCTGGCCTTATTGCCATGCTGGTATCAATACCAGGAAAAGTGCTACATACGTCCGCTGCCCATCACACCATGCCCGACGCAGCGTGTGCAGGCCCCGGACCCCATGTCTGCATCGACCAAAAGGCAGCAGCTGATGTTGTCATTGCGCGAGCTGTTTCCAGGCGATGACCTCGTCGAGTTTCGCGGCATTGCGGTAGAAGTTATCTTCCAGATGCCTGTGGACTGGGCTGCCGGACTGCTGAACTTGCCAGTTGGCGATAGGAAGGAGGCCATCATGGCAGGCGTCCGAGGTGGGGGGGTGTTGATGCCACGCGCCCATCAATGACCCCGTGGTGTGTATGTTATGTATCGAGAAATCCTTGAGGGTGTTAGGAGGCGTTGGAAGGTGGTTTCATTCTTTGTAGTGCCGCTCAAACGGGCAAGGGGTCATTTCGTGCGTGACAGCAGCTGGGGGGTTTCTGTTCTAGGACAATCCCATGGGCCTGGATGGCTCCAGAAGCGGACGACCGCGGGATGCTGTGACAATCCTAGTCCTTATCTCTTTCTGTTGTGCGCGGCTTCCGGGGACCCCAATGCCTGCGAGGGGCGTGTTGGTTTCCGCACCAGGCATGCACTGCAGCCATCCTGAGAGCTGCAACATGTAGGCTACCACTGCTCAGCTTTTGTCGTTTGCAGCAGTGCATTTCCTGAACCCAGACAGCTCACAAACCAATTCATCACGCTGCTCGTGTTGCGCAACAAGCAAGGCATGGGGGGGGTTGCCAGGGCTTGCTGGCTGCAGGCTTGAGCGGCGCTGTCCTGAGGCATGCTCATGTGGTTACACAGCAGCCGGCACCTGCCCTACCAACGGGGGCCCTCGATAACCCGGCGTAACCCCAGGGTTACGCCGGGTTGCATCGGGTTGCGCGCGCGGGGCGCGCCGTGCGTGCATCTGCAACACCATACTGGTTTTTTTGACAAATTCTTAGGCAGGGCTACCTGTGCTGTTGTTTGGCCCAGCAGCACCAACCTAAATCCTGCGGCGGGATAGCACCTGTAGTCATGCACAGCAACACCCAGATGAATCGAGCCTCTCAGCAGCCACGCCCGTGCGTGTGCAAGCAGTGTACGTGTGGCCATTTTTGTATGTGTCACAGTGCTGGATTATAATACATGATTCATGCCATACGGCATCGCAGCGGTGCGGCAGCACCAGCAGGTGATACCAGGTTGCTAGCCACGCCGACCTGATGCCGACAGAGAATTGCAGGGTGCTGCCTGCAAGATGCAAGCCGTCCCATTCAAATATGTCCAATCTCTAAGCATCAATGCCCCTTCAAAGCTGGCAGCTCGAGCCTTCGTGGTGACTGATGATCTGGGGCTACAGTTTAAAGGGTGCGATGCCAGTTGATCTCCATTTGCTCCGCATGCCGTCACAAATCAGTTGTGATGTTCACCCCACTGTTTCACTTTTGCTGTTTCTTCCAATACAGCCCGGCAGGAACGCCAACAAGGTCTCTGCGGAGCCTGTTATGCCCACTCCGCTGCGCACTCGGGCCCTCGCCCGCTTCGATGTGCTATTCATATTCTCAAGTAGCTTGTATAGTGTCCGCCGCCCCGCACAATACCCCTCTGGGCCGTGGCAGCCATGCACATCTCAACGGTGCACTCGTGAACGAGAGCCGTCAGGGATTCAAGTGGCCTTGGGTATGAGCCACGATTAAGACGTGTGCGAAGCATGATTGCGGCGCCCAGACCCAAAGCGCCGCCACGATCTGCACCGGCGGCTGCCACCCACACGCTGCCTCCCATCCCCTGCCCATACCTGCAGTGCCATCAGCTTCTGGGGCAAGGCCCGGCTAGGACCACACTGGCATCATACATCTCAATGCCAATCAGGTGTGGCAGGTCGAGTTACCGACTGGAAGTTGACGCGGCTCGCTGTGGCTCGCACCAACGGCAGGCACTGCTGCTTTGAGCCTGCAGGGTGCTTGGAGGCAAGGTGCTGTGTGGGTGTGTGGTCGTGCGACGCACGGCTGCAAATGTGTTGGCGTACATGCCTGCCCTTTTCGGCAGGATGCGCCTTGGGCTGGAGTGCAATCTGTGCTGCCATGTCTGGCAACTTGGTCGACTGACATCGTTAGGCCTAACTTGCCCCTTTTGTCCCTGCCCTCGCCTCTCCACCTGTCTCAGGGCCAGCATGTTGTGCTACTGTCCACAGCGCCGGCAAGTCGTCCCTCCGACTCAGGGTCACAAGCAACGAGCGCCTATGACGTGGTATGAGTGGGCGCCCCGTGGGGGGCATCCTGCAGGACGCTGCCTACGCACATCGATGTGATATCACCCCAGGTGTTGCATAAATCTTGCTACTTCCTCGTTTTGAAATGTTGCAGGTGACGGCGTGCCCTGCGGCACGCTCGACCCTTGACAAGTCAGGTTTCTTGTTGCGGCATTCACTCACACAGCTGCGGCATTCACTCTTGATGTTGCTCGCCCCCATTGCTCGCCCTGCAGCCTTGCTTTGAAGGGCAACAACGCTGCGCAACATGCGCCACCACAAGCCCACAACCGCACAGCTTATGGCCGTTGGCCCGTCGTTCTGTGCAATAGCGTTGCACCCAACTTATCAGGTGAGGTCAAGCGCTCATTTGTCAAGTGCACATTGAGCTTTGCTTAGGGCGTGGGTTGTGAGTGCGTTGTGGTGCACGTGTGCACGCTCATGATCACGCCACGCTTGTGTGGTAGGCGCCTTGGTGTTGACAATGCATGTGCGTCTAAGTTGTGCGGGCCGGGGGGCCGGGATTCACATGTGGTTGCTGGGGTGTTTCGGCGCATTTGTGACTGCTGCAATGGCAATCAACACCGGCGCGGTTCAATGCCGTATCCGCGTGCCCCGCGAAACCCTTTCCGAAACCCGCTCGTAACCCAGTCCGTAACCAGATTGTGACAAAACAACCTGGCGTAACCCAGCAGGTTACGCCAGGTTATGCCAGGTTACGGCGCGCGCGCGCCAGGGGCACGGGAGGTTGGTAACCCAGCGTAACCCAGGGTTACGCCAGGTTACCGGGGGGGGTCCGTTGGTAGGGCTGACGCACCAGCAGCCCCTTTAGTGTGGATGCGGTCTTGCTTGACCTTTTTAATCTACCTCCCCCGCCCCCCGTATCGCGGCTCCCCAATGGGCTTCCTCCCATCGTTACACAGCCGTAGCAGGTGAGTCATGCAGGGGTGAGGGTTTGGTGTGCTCACACCAAGGGGCCAAGTTTTTGCCAGCTGGCTACTGCTGCATACGCAGCCTCGCTTGTCAAGGGGGGTCGAGGCAGGGTAACACTTCTCGCTCAAGCACCAGTCTCCCAGTTCCCTAACGCGCCCGGTCGCGGTTTGCACGTTCTTACCCAATTCTGCTTCGGCTGTCGGGGCGATGCTGCACCGCACCTCACGGTCACCGTGTCGCTTCATAACACTCCTAATCAGGCACGTGGGGAGGAGCTCCAGCAGCAGCAGCAGCAGCAGCAGCAGCAGAAGGAGCAGCAGCAGCAGCAGCAGCAGCAGAAGGAGCAGCAGCAGCAGCAGCAGCAGCAGCAGCAGCAGCACCACCACCACCACCACCACCACCACCAGCAGGTGAGGCTTGTGGGCGTCAGGCAATGTATGTTGCATTCCGCTCCGTGCGTTCAACGCGCTGCCTGTGAAATTGGCACAGCGCAATGTTCGACGATGGGCATGGCGTGATTGTTAGGCAGCACTATCGGTCCGTGACGCCGGTTGCTTTGTCTGTGCTGGTAGGGGCTCCGACATCTCCTGGTTTGCGGCTTGCCCCGCAGTCATCACATGCATCATTATGACCTGCACGGAAATGCTGCTCGCACTTGCCCCCGGCAACACTTATGCGCCGCCGAGTTTACACCACTTGCCTTGGCCACTCCTGCAGTTGATGGGCGGTTGCAATGCCGATCCGCGCACCTGCTCTCTCATCGCACATATTTACTGACAACACCACCCTGCTGGCCGTCGTCTCCCAACTACATCTGGCTGGGCTGTTGGACTGACCCTGCACATCAGATGATGATGTCTTTGAGTCGCACCTGGACGTCTTGTATGCCTGCGTGTGCGAGCAGCTGCAGCGCCTGCGCACGGCATGGACCAAAGGGTCTACTAAACTGAAATCAAGCTGACATGTGAGTTGAAGCATAGCAGTTGGTTTCATGTCACCCATTCTCCAGCGTTTGTTTCTTGAACTCACGCAGAACACAATACTTGTCACTGTGTTATTTAGGTTTTTTTGCTTTTATTGTTCCTCCACTAGAGGTGGTAGTCATTTGGCCCGGTTGCGCGCCAACAACCACCAACACGCACGGGCAATCATGCGCCTGCGCTGCTGCCCTCGTTCCTTCGCGTCGCCCACCCTGCACTGCAACACCACCACCCATTGCCCCCATTGCGGCGGCCCAAGCCTTGGTGCAACGGCTGAATGCGCTTGATTGCCCTGCAAATTCCTGATGCTGACCTGCGTACAGAGCCGCGCTTTGCGCCCTTGCTTGCAAACTTGCCAGCGCAAGCCCTCGTGCGCGGTTTCATGCGCATTTCTCCCCACCACGCATTGGGGGTCTGCGTGCACGCACGCCTGCTTTGAACGAATTGTAGCCACCCGCATTTGACTCACACAACGTTCATGCTTCACAATTCAATCCCATGAGCCTGGATGGCTCCAGACCCGGGCGCCCGCAGGACACTGTAACAATCCAAATTCTAGTTGTACTCCAATAGTACGCGCCTCTACTTGGTGATGTTTCCCGTCCTGATCACGCTGTCGCTGCTGTTTGAACGCGCCAAGGTTTATGCTCAGATCAGCATATATTCTGCTGGCCTAGGCCGGCTTGTGGAGCCTCATGGGAGCATTGCAGGATTGCTGGGATGAGGAGTCCGCAAGTCATCCCCCAAGTATGGTGACGGATGGAGAGTCTCCCTACATCAAGTTGCTGCATGCACCTGCCTCAATCGTTGAGGCGGCTGTACGGGACCGTGGCGCAGGCCTGTAGTAGCTAGCAGTTCATCGTTGATTGCCAGGGTTGCGGCAGCATGGGCTCTTATTGGGGCAGTTGGCAACGCTTTTTGGCGTGAGGGCTGACGTCAAGAGGTCCTACACCCACGAGCTTGCTGCAGCTTTTTTTTGGTGGGCACATTGGAATAATACGATATGATAGGTCAGAATTGTTGCATTCCTGCAGTGGCCCGCTTCTGAAGTCAACTGTGCTAATGGGGTTAAGACCTTGATACATCAACCGTGCAAGTGGGGCTGCATTTCAGGGGGCTGCCATCCACGCCTCTTGAATAAAGCTTCATGCATGCACGAAGGCCCCACGTGTGTGCCCGTCTATGCTGCGCACCAAGGCGTGCATCCATGCTTGAACAGGCAGATTAAGTTCAAGGGCGCAAAGCGCGGCTCGGCATACAAGTCCGCATGCACCAGGCAGTCCAGCGGAGCGTGTTCAGCGTTTTGTCAAGGCCCAGCAGCAACCACTCAAACCTAAGAAAGTGGTGCACTCACCGCACAACCCCTGGACAAAGCCCTTAGAAGCTTCATCTCAGGCTGAGCATCACACGGTGCCCTTGTTCGGCCGTCATCATACATGTGCGCATATCATGTTTACAAAGATGGCTCACGATGGGCCGTTTGCAGCTCAGCCGGTGTCCCTCTCGCCAGCCCCAGCGCTGTAGCTGCTGCTGCTGCTGCTGCTGCTGCTGCTGCTGCTGCTGCTGCTGCTGCTGCTGCTGCTGCCGCTGCTGCTGCTGCTGTTGCTGCCGCTGCTGCTGCCGCTGCTGCTGCTTACCCTCCCCGCGGCGCCCATCGGGCCCGCGCCCCCACTGAAGATATCTTGCAGGTAGTCGTCGTCGCGCTCGCCCCTCGACTGCCCCTGCAGCGACTGGCAGCTGAGCGCCAGGCTGGGCGCGTTCTGCAGCAGGCGGCCCGGGGGGGTCTTGGAGCCGAACAGCCGCCGCAGCTCGTCCAACACGCCCTCCAGGGCACCTGGCTCCAGCAAAAGAGGCGCCTCCTGGCCATGCGTGCCATTGTGCGTGTGTGCGTGTGCCATGGAGGAGTGTGCTTGCGCGTGTGTTTAGGTTCATGGACAGCGCCCACATGTTTGTGCACGCATTTGCCTCCAGCAGGGTGGCGGTGCCGCTGCGGTGCGTGAAATTTCGAACACACCTGGGCCCATGCAGCGCGCTGCCGCAGCAAGCTTGGGATGCATACCATCAACTGCCCAGCACCCGCCCACCTGCGCCAGCGCGTCGGGGTCGTCGCCCCCCTGCTCCAGCAGAACCCGCTTGAACTGCTCCGCGCGGGCCCGCAGCTCCGCCGCGCTCGCGCGCAGCAGGGCGGGGTGCTTCGCGGCCATGGCCGACGCATTGGCGCGCGGGAAGGCGTCTTTGAGAGCCAGGAGGCTGGCCACGACGCCGTCCACGTCCATCGCGAGGCGAACCTATTGGGGGGCCGGACGCCCAGGAAGCGGTGCGTCGTGGTGCGGCGTTATGCAGTTATGCTGTCGGCACGGGACTGGCGCGCCGGCGTCATGCACACTGTGAGCAACTCGGAAAGTTGAATCGAGTCGAGCGGTTCCCGTTCAATTGTCCTCTGCCTTGAGTGGCCCGAAACATGTCAAAAGGGTCGCAGCTGACAGGCGCACCAGCTCTCCAGGCTTCACCCCTGGCAGGCCAAGCCCGCCATCGGGCAGCACCGCGCTGAGCAGTTCCACGCGCTCCCTCACGGCTTCCTCGCTGGCGCCCAGGTCGGCGGCGACCACCTGGCGGGCAGGTGATGGCCCCAAGATGCGGCCGTGTGGGCAAGCCGAGGCGCCAGCAGCGCAGGGGGACCCACCCGGCAGCAAGAGCCACGCATGCGGTGCACGGATGCGGCAGGTGCTAGCGGCACTGCCGAAGCTGCTGCTGATGAGGAACATTTGGCCCGATCTCGTTTGACTATTGCACGCTTTTGCAAGTCCACCCCCACCTTGATCGCCAGCGCAAGCTGCGCGTCGGAGGTCCAGTTGACCGGCTCTGCAATGGTGTGAGTATCTTGGACGATGTTGCCCAGAGGGTCCGTGCGGCGCTCAAGCTTCTTGGTGTAGTAGGAGCCAATAGTCCACGGGGCCGCCGCCTGCTGGTTGTCGCTGTTGCTTGGACGGACGGGGTCGTCGGCCTGGGCAGCGCAGCGCACCCGGCGCGGTCGCAGTGCGCCTACTGCACCATGAACGCGCCAGGCTGTGCAGGACGCTGGCAGCAGGGTGCGTCTGGTAGAAGACGCCTTGCTTGACGGGAGCATCGAGAAAACACTACTTGCGGGCGGGGAAGATCACGATCGAGCTCCCAGCATCCCCGTTCTTAGTAGTTGAGGTTATTAAGCATCATACAGTAGTGCATCACTGTGGTGATACGGTGATGAGGCAAACAGGACAGCGAATGTATGCAACGATGCAGGCTAGGGAACGCTACAAGTCAGAAGTGGTCAACCCCTGAGCTTCAAGTTTCACTCCTGTGGTGTGCAAGATTGCTTGCGCACCGTGCAAGGCACATGCTGCTTTTCCAGAATATCACTCAACAGCACATTACAGGTGGCAACTGTGGGATGAGGAGTCCTGCTTGCTGAATCTGCCACAGCGACTGGCAACGCTTGCGACGATGATGTCGACAAAATGGAACTTTTCGGAGGAAACAAACAGTGCATGACGTAATGTACAGCATGGCCCGGTAGCAAAACGTCCAGCCTGAAGCTGCGGTTTGCGCACAGCTGCAGCCACCTCGGCCTCATGCAGGTGCACACCCCGCACCCCGCGCCCGTTTCTTGTACAGCCCGCCCTGCCGAGGGATCCAGCCCAGCCATCTGCCGCGCCCAACGCGCGCTACGCACGGGGCCGGATGGGCGGCGGCTCGTCCTTGCTCCACGACAGCGCGCGCAGCGCGAGGGCCAGCTCCCCTGGCTCTGACGCCGCGAAGGCCTCCGCGTCCAGCCCTGGCCACAACTCCTGCAGCTGCGGCAGCACCTTCTCCACATCAATCAGCAGCACCCAGGGGTACTCCTGTGGTGATGTGCATGTGCGAATGTGTGTTGTGTGCGTGTGCGGGTGTTGTGTGGGCATGCGTGTACAGGGGTGTGTGTGTGTGTGTGTCGCCGCGCGCGAGCGCGCGCGTGCGTGTGTGTGTGTTGGGATGCGTGTGTGCGTGCATGCATGTGTGAGTGAGTGAGTGAACGAGCACAGGTGCTCGTGGTTTGCACGTGTGTGTTCATGTGAGCGTGCGGCTGTGAGCCAGCCAAGTGCATGAGGGTGGGGCTGTTGTGGGGGTTATCTGCACGCCCGTGGACAATGGTGCAAAATGGCATATGTCCAGTGTGAGAGGCGTTTTGCAACTGCAGAGCCCCCGAGGAAAGAGGCAAGCACTTCTGGCCGACGCCGGCACAGCCAGCTTGGGCCCCACGCCGTCCCAGCCTCCCGGCAACGCTGCCCGCAGCGCCTCCACCCGCCCGTGCCGCTGCTTTCACCTGCACCATAGCGGATAGGTTGGCGCCAGGCATGCCCGCCACTAGCAAGTCCAGCCGCCGCTTCATCTCCGTCTGGACGAACCCCGCCTCGCAGCCCAGCAGCCGCGGGTGCAGCTCGATCATGGCCGCCACGTCGTGCCAGGGCAGCAGCTGCTTCAGCGCGACCAAACGCTCTGCCAGGTCGTGCGGCGCGACAGACAGCACCTGCGGGCGGGCGGGCGCGCGCGAGCGCAGGCGCCCGTTTCTGGGATGATTTTGGGTTGCTGGGGTCTGTCCACTCGGAGGGGAGCGGGGCGCGCAAGGGCTCCAGGCGATGCTGGCATACGCAAAAACGTGCAAATTGTGAAGAGGCGACTGCCCCATTGCGCCTCGGGGACACCGACGCATGGCTGCTCCCGGCGCTGAGTAGCGCGCATGCGCACAAAACGAGAACGCGTGCATCCCTGCACCTGGGGATAGCTCTCCACTAGCTCAAATGCCCGCTTGTCCGACATCAACAGGAGCGAGGTAAGGCTCGCCATCGCCTCTGGCGCCTTGGAGACCGCCGCTTCGACGGCCGCGCGCCGCTCGGCGCTGGGG